ACGATCGCGCCCAAAAGCAGCGATACCAAAGAAGATTGGAGAATGAGAACGAGACCCGCCTTGAGCATCAAAGTGATTCTGCTTAGTAGTGAGTCTCCGAGACATAGTCTTGTCCCAAATACGGTTTTGCTGTTTTACTTGTATTGTTTTACAATTTCAGTATTTACTTCTTATTGCCTATAAGTTACGTATATATATTTAGTTGTTTATTATTTTTCTTATTTTTGTTCTAGTTTTATTTTATTTACTTATTTTCTCAAACAAATAAAACACGTTCACTAATCAATTTTCTTTATGTAGTGTGTTTTATTGTTCTATAGTTTCGGTATTTTCCATTTACTGCCTAAAGTTGCTTACTGCCTAAAATGAAACATCCTACTAACCTACAAATTGAAGAGAGACAGAAAACTAGTATATATGGACTGTTTCAGATAAAGTGATAGTGTTCATGAAAAATAGATAAATATGCCTAAATCTTATATCGTCATGTACAAAACAATATTCTCTTTCATGCTGGCTTGATGCCAAAAAACAAATAATGATTAAGTAATGTCTCTTCAATCTGAAAAAAAAAAACTTCCGGTAGACTACCTCACAATAATGAGGTAGTCTACATCATTATTGTGGTATCAACATATCATTATCAAATAATGATATGTTGTTACTTAATCAACATATAAAACAGCTACCATTAGAAAATTCAGAAAACAAATAATGAAATCAAACAATTTTATTCTTTGTCAAAGTAATCTATAACATCAGAAATTTAGGTCATAATTTAACACTTGTTTTTGTAATTTTTATTATGAATAATTATACACTATTGTACCGAAAATTACATAAATTAATAAATATATGTGATGTTTTTGTATCTCTATGATAAAAATTTGATTTTTGGTAAATTTTTAAAATAAAATACATAGAGTGACCTTGAGTGACTGCACTTTGGGTCGGTGTTTTGAAGGGTAAAGTACAACTGACCACATCAGAGTAAAGGGTTAATGTTGTTTGTGTTTTCCTTTCAAGTTATTTTACTTCTGTATGTATCCAATATATAACTCCAAATGCCAGTATTGAAATGACATGTCATTGGCTTTAAATGTATGTTTTGCATTCAACTGTGTTGTTAGTATTGAGTTTAATTTCCTGTTGTGTTCTTTTGTTAGTCTTTGTTTTATTGTGTGTGTTCTGTGAATTTGGTGTGTTGGAATCCTAAATATTTGTAGATTTTGTCCTCTTATTATTATTATTAAAAAACTTTATTGAATTTTAAGAAATCAATCAATTTAAATAATAACTTAATATATTTGGTTTTACATTATTAAAATTAATAATAAATATTAAATTCATTTTCAACATTGATAAAATATTCTTTTAGTTTAGTTCTCTTTCTGTAAATATTTGATAATTTTAATTATTAATTTTTTAAAATATTAAAATAATCATAATTCTGTATTAAAATCATAATTAATATTCACAAACTTTTATAAATAAATAAATAAATAAAATATACATTATATTATGTAATCATAAATAGTATTCCTAATAAGTTGTATCAAGAACAGAGTTCATATAATGTTTAAAAAATGATAAAAAGAGAAAATTTAGTTTTATAATAAAAAAAAACAAGTACTATAATTAACAACATAAATATGTTTACAAGAGTGCTGTAGGTTCAGACAGGCTAACAACAACTAGTCTGGTTGGTGAGGGACAGGGCTCAATAAATTTGGAATAGATCAAGGCATGAAAAATTTCTGGATTTACTTGCCCTTATTCAACCCTGGGTCCTTATAGTAGTAGATAAATGCATTAACCACTTCAGCCATACAGAAACTAATATCTATACAGTTAGTTTTTGATTCATAACTATTATGCCAAGTTAAATTTTTAAAGTAAATATATTAAAACAAAGTCTAAATTTACATTTTAAGAATCATTTTATTTCAAAATCTATCCTGTAAACATCTTTGGTACTTAATAACTTATTATTTATACTTATTTTCTGTAAAACCACTAATAGTAAAGATATTTGCATTGTTATGTAATTAAAAATTACATTCCAACTCTTGATTATTGATGGTACAGTAAATACTATTATTTTTCTTTAATATGATGTAGATTATTGTTATAAAAATCCTACACCATAAATTATGGTATGCAATGATAAACCAGAAGATTTAAATGCATAAAAATAACCTTTTGATTATAACTGATATGTGATTTAATAAAAAAACTTATAACTGAATATTACAAATGTAAATTTCTAACCTAAATTTGTGTGTAAAGAGGAAATTTTTTCTTTAGCTGAATGAAGTTCTTTTTCTTTCAGGAGGAGTTATAGTCTTGTGCATGATGTGGCATTTCTTATAAATATCACCTGTTGTGTTTTTAAAATGTGCTTTCTGTAGTTTCTTCTATTTATGATCTAGTCTTGTAGGGCAATCATGACCTTTCTTACTCTCCAGAGGCAGCCATGAGTCAAACAGCAATTTGATACAGTTCTGTCAATGTGATCTTGGCTGAGGTCATTTGGATGCTTTCCTTGTAGCAGTTTCTGTGTCAACACTGCCTGATAGTGTCTGTATTTTTTGTGTATTGTGTTAGATTCAAGTCAGTGTTATGTAAGTTTAATGATGTTCTGTTTTTGTCTGCAAGAGTTACAGCTTTGCGTAACTGTGATGTTTCTTGTTTTCTGTAGTAAAATTCTCACAGAATCTGTATTTGTTTGTAGTGTAGATTTAAAGTATCTGTGAGGCCTCATCCTTCCTTTTTATGAGGAAGAATCAGTTTTATGTGGTCAACTTGGGTGCTGTTTATGTTTTGTTAACCCTTCTATGATATATTGTTAGTTCCAATTTAGCTGAAACATATGGAATGATGATATTTCGTCATTTTGAAAAATGTTTAATTTTAATAAAAAAATTCTCTGCATGTGATTTTTATTGCTGTTCACTGCCTTTAAGTTATATATATATATATTTTAAGCCTTACTCTGAAAGCAACCGTTAANTATAATTAACAACATAAATATGTTTACAAGAGTGCTGTAGGTTCAGACAGGCTAACAACAACTAGTCTGGTTGGTGAGGGACAGGGCTCAATAAATTTGGAATAGATCAAGGCATGAAAAATTTCTGGATTTACTTGCCCTTATTCAACCCTGGGTCCTTATAGTAGTAGATAAATGCATTAACCACTTCAGCCATACAGAAACTAATATCTATACAGTTAGTTTTTGATTCATAACTATTATGCCAAGTTAAATTTTTAAAGTAAATATATTAAAACAAAGTCTAAATTTACATTTTAAGAATCATTTTATTTCAAAATCTATCCTGTAAACATCTTTGGTACTTAATAACTTATTATTTATACTTATTTTCTGTAAAACCACTAATAGTAAAGATATTTGCATTGTTATGTAATTAAAAATTACATTCCAACTCTTGATTATTGATGGTACAGTAAATACTATTATTTTTCTTTAATATGATGTAGATTATTGTTATAAAAATCCTACACCATAAATTATGGTATGCAATGATAAACCAGAAGATTTAAATGCATAAAAATAACCTTTTGATTATAACTGATATGTGATTTAATAAAAAAACTTATAACTGAATATTACAAATGTAAATTTCTAACCTAAATTTGTGTGTAAAGAGGAAATTTTTTCTTTAGCTGAATGAAGTTCTTTTTCTTTCAGGAGGAGTTGGGAATGTATATTTGTTTTTGAAACTTCTCCTTCATCAGCTAATAACCTAAATAATGTAAAATATAATGTGTATTCATATAATTATGAATTCTAAACACAAAAAATATTTATTAAATTTATGTAAAATTATATAAACATTCATAATAAATCTTTCATTAATAATCAATAATTTGCTAAAATAGGTTTCAATATATTTAATACATATAAATTTTGTTTCCTTTCAGATTTACTTATTTCATATATTAAAACACTATTTTAGGTCTTTCAATTTATCTTATACTCATCCTTAATTTACCTTTAAAAATGATATGAAAATGTTTCAAATGATTGTTTAATGGCTAACATTTTATTTAATTATTTTTTAACAACTATTTAATTTTTTAATTATTTAATATTAAAAAATAATTAAATAAAATGTTAACCATTTAACAAAGCTAATTGAATTTTCATTGAATTTTAATTTGCTTTTTTAAAACAAAATCAAATACAGTGGGTGATCGGTTAAAGAACAAATCAGATAACAAACACTTTCGCGAAAGATTTTTATGATCGGACAACGAACACTTCACTGAACAAACACAAGAAGAAGTGATGTAAAATAATGAATACTGACTGGTCTTCCTTTGTCTTCATGCAACAATTCGAAACTTTTCAGAGCACGGGAGACATCGACATCCAACCCGGTATATACCGACTGGATAGTATCCCCCGAACTTTGAAACTCTCCCTTGTAATTCCAGCCTTTTATATTTCTGACAGAAACAATTCTTTTACATTTTCTTATGTGGATTAATGCCAATATCTGCTATTAAACATCTTTTGAAGAAGTGGGAGGATGTCAGAACAATGGTCTTAGACTGGTATCCAAACCAGGTTGAGATTAATAGGCTTAGGGATCGCTACAATTACAATGCTATTAATTACCTATGAAAAATTCTGAAGAAGAGAGAAAAGTAATTGACATTGGACAGATTCTTTAACAACCACAAATGGGAAAAACATGACTAATAAAAATGCAAGACTGTGTATATATGTATTTTTATTATTACATATGAATAAATGTAGTAAGAAAGTATATATTTTTTATTTTTTTTGGGGTCTCCAGAATGAATTAATCAAATTCCAATAGAAACATATGGTAAATCGATAATCGGTTAACGAACAATTTGGATAGTGAACAAAGTCTTGGAATGGATTATGTTCATTAACCGATCACCCACTGTATTAAAAAATTTATACACATTTGGCATTTTTATAATGTTATCATAATTTATTTATTTTAATTATTTATTTTTTAATTTCAAGTAGGTATTTCAAACAGTTAAACAGACAAATGATATCTGAATTATATAAGTGTGAAGTTTACATATTAACAAAAATAATTAGTCATTGTATACTAGAATATAAAAAAAAAAATATTAATTTTTTTAAAATGGAAATTATTGATTATTTTTTTCCTATTACATCTAACAAGTAATATTGTACATCAAAAAACATTTCTGACTAATATACCATAGTTAACAAAATTGTCAAATTCTATTCTGTATTATTATTCATAAAGAAATTAAATACACTTTACAAATTATAAAAATAAAATTTAATATAAACATTAGCTATAGAATATTGTTAATTTATATAACAAGTTTTAAAATATACCATATCAAAATGATTAAATCACTGTCCTAAATAAATTCCATTTTTGCTTAGAACAGACATACAGTTTTTTATAAATTATAGTTTATTATTCCAAAATATTTTCAGTAATATAAGATTTTATAATCAGCAATTACACTGCAAAAATGCAGCAAATTATAAACTAATTTCAACTATTATTTATTTAAATAATATAAATATTATTAATAATTTCTAATGTGAAATAATCCTATAATTTTATTTACTATACTTTTAGTAGAAACTAATAAAAATAATTCATTTATATCTAATATTGTTTCTGCAATTATTATTAAATATACTTAAATAAAGTTAATTAAAATGTTTTACTGGACAATTTCAATTTAATAGTATGTAGAGAATTATGTCATCAGGTAGCAGAAGACACTGTCATAAACTTTTATTTAATAAAACTATTATTTAAATTAACAACATGCAATAACAAACAGATTTTTTCTAAAAATCTAATAATAATAAGCATATAAATACAGTCAAACCTTGATATACTGCCATCTCAAAGTGCCAATGAATACTTGTTAATAATATAGTATTTATTAAATGTATGATTCTGTAGTGCAAACAACACTGTTAACATAAAATACATGACTAAAACTTTTAAACCCTACTTTTTGTATATACTTCATTATTATATGTAATTCTTATTATTTGAGATGCTTCACTTTAGTGCCAATTTCAGTAACAAACAATCGATAGCACTAAATTAAGATTTGACTGCATTTAATAAAAACTCAGTATGTTTCTTTTAATATTTGCAAGTGTATGCTAATATTTATTATAGCATAATTCACAAATCTGAGTTATCAAAATTAATTTTATAAAAAAAAAATCAAATTATATCACTTTTATCCATACCCAAAATCATTGATAAAATNCATTTATATATATATATATATATACATACATATATATGTTACTGTGAAAGATTGAAATTAGAGAATGTTGATATTCTCCAGTGAATGTCGACACGCACAAAATACATTGGTGAAAGGAAAGGTATATTTGTAACCGAACCGAATATTTGGTTATATTATTATACATTCGAACAATCACCGGTGTATGTTGACATGCACATATAAGCTTTAGTGGAGGTCGAAACGACACCCGAGAAACCGATGTTGACAGAGAGGCGACAGTCTGTCGCCAAATTCTTCGCTGCTTCCTTCTGCTCAAGCTGGTTATACCGTACAAATACAAGTCCCCGATGTCAACCGTGACCGTACAGATGCCCGAAATGTGTTGGCGGTTGTTGTTGGAATAGAAGACTCCAACTTTTATAAATTAGCAAACAAAAATAGTACCCTCAAGCAGCTTTATACCCATAATCAGTTCGTAATTTGTAAAGAAACGTTACTTTCCATAGATGAGATTTCTTTTTAAGAAATATCGCCAAGAGAAGCAGCTGCAGCTAATTCGAAAAGTGGAGGGCAAGGCTATACATGTTGTCATTGCAAAAAGTTTTCCACGAATAAATGCAGTTGTAAAAGCAAGGGATTCTTGTGCAATTCAAAGTGCCATAACAGTTTAAGTTGTTGCAATAAATAAGATTGTATAACGTTAATCACATAATATATGTGAGTTTACTATTGTGTATTATTTTTCTTTTCTGATTAAGAATGTACTGTTCATTTTAGGTTCAACAGTTTATTTACATATGCTGTTACTTAAGCTTTCTCCTATTTTCACATATTAAAAAGTTGCATTTTTGTCTTAACGTAATAAAAATATTTTTATNGTGTATTATTTTTCTTTTCTGATTAAGAATGTACTGTTCATTTTAGGTTCAACAGTTTATTTACATATGCTGTTACTTAAGCTTTCTCCTATTTTCACATATTAAAAAGTTGCATTTTTGTCTTAACGTAATAAAAATATTTTTATTCAACACTCACCATCAGTGCATGTTGAATGTCAACATTTACTGGTGTAAGTGAGAAATAATGATATTTAGCAAATATTTTGTACATACACGAAATGACTGTGTGAATGCTGATATTCACTGGAGAATGTTGACATTCGCCAGATATCGATCATTCACAGTAACATATATATAGATATTTTATTTTCTTTNACAACAACCAGGGAAGTCAACTCTAATATGTTACAGGCAGCTATACGCTTTGCCCAATCACATCCACAGACATTCCACACCGTTCCCATCACACTCATTTTACCAATAAACCATAGCTGCCCACCCCAATTAGAAGAAACCTTCCAAGAAGTCAATCAACCCTCACTTGAAGATATGAAGTAATTGAGGTAATGCGACTGCGGTAATAGATGTCCACTGGTAATATTTAAACATAGTCTGTATTTGTGGAGTTTCTAAGAAGGCACGCGGGAGAAATGAGGATTAATTAACGCGTCGTTGTCAGGCCTGAGAACTTAACAGATGTTTAGCTCCCAGGTGTAAAAGTTGACAGTTATTTAACGAAAGTATAGCTATGATGTGATATTATGATGTAATGATATAAATATACTGAAAGTCTGGATTCGGATCCTCACATCACTATACTTTACAAAGATGCAAAAAATTTTGTGTTAAAATTTTCAGGTAAATTTTTTAATTTAGTAAGTAATGATAAAGCTATTGGATTGTTAAAAACCTTATGCAAATTTTTTGAATTATTAAGTAAGTTAAATTACTTATTTTATAATAAATATCAAAATGAAGACAATATATTCTTTTCTTTTGTATAGAGTTGCATTTAGTTGCTAATGCTAATGTGACTATGGATGTTAAAATAAAAGAGTTTAACTTTTAATACACCATTATTGAAAGCTTGTCGATAGCCAAGTTTTCAATAACATTTGTTTGATTTAATATATAAAACAAGAACAGGAACAGTATTATAAATAATCAAACTATTTAAGATAAATGCTTTAAAATGCATTTTAAAACTATTATCAAAAGTATTATCAGTATCCACTAAAGTTTTATTTTATCAATGATGTAAAAATATACCTATATCAGTTCTTTATTTAATATTAAAAAAATTAATTTACTTTATAAGTAAATTGTAAATTAAAATTTCTTACTTTATCAATCTGTTCAACATTAGAAAGAGGATTTGATTGTTTCTTTATATTTTCTTCTAAGTTTAAATATTGTTGTTTATAGTAATTTCTTTCTTCTTCTACTAATTTTAAAAGATTATCTTCTGATTTTGTTTGTTTTTCATTTTTATCTGAAGATTTTTTATTCTTTTTCACTGTAGTTTTTGATATTTCTGCATTATTCTATTACAACAAATAAAATTATAACAATGTAATTATTTTAAAATAATTAGTTTAATATATTATATTATCAAAAAATATATACATTTTTATATTGTTGAATATTTTGTAAAGCAACAACTTCTTCTTTGTAATGATCCCTCTGAGCTTCTAAGATAGAGATTAACTGCAACAAGTGATCTGAAGAATATCTCTGACAGACATCATCCACATTTTTGTGACTGAGTCGATCAATTTCCAAAACTAAATCTTTTTCTGTATGTTGTAAAATAGTTAAACTAAATATTTCATAAACAATAGTATATTTCTGAAATATTTTACAAGTAAAAAATTACCGTTCAAAGACATAAAATTTAGTTTTTTCTGGAGCTCTTCTTTTTCTTGTTCTAATTCTTTAATTTTGTTTTTCAACTGATCCCTTTCTAACTTTATAGTCTGTAATTCAATAACTTCTTCTCGTAATCTGTATAACTCATTGTCAATTGCAGAGACTTCCTATAGAGTGATTTAATAACAATGTAAAATTATTCAATTATTTCAAAAATTGTCATGCTTGTACTTCTTTGAAATTTCAATTTTGTTTACTTTCAAAATGTTCAATTTAATTTATTTCTTAAACTAAATTTACAATTTCATTCATGTTTAAATCTTTGATTTATAGTATTTCATATAACTTAATTTTATATTTAAGTAACTATACCCTTACAGAAAACTGTTTTCAAATAAACAAATTTCAATAATATAATATTGATAACTTTCCATCCAATATTAAATATAACTACCGTACATCATCATGTGACCAAAGGGTCGGCACCTTCACCCGTCAACTACTACAACTACAACAACCAGGGAAGTCAACTCTAATATGTTACAGGCAGCTATATGCTTTGCCCAATCACATCCACAGACATTCCACACCGTTCCCATCACACTCATTTTACCAATAAACCATAGCTGCCCACCCCAATTAGAAGAAACCTTCCAAGAAGTCAATCAACCCTCACTTGAAGATATGAAGTAATTGAGGTAATGCGACTGCGGTAATAGATGTCCACTGGTAATATTTAAACATAGTCTGTATTTGTGGAGTTTCTAAGAAGGCACGCGGGAGAAATGAGGATTAATTAACGCGTCGTTGTCAGGCCTGAGAACTTAACAGATGTTTAGCTCCCAGGTGTAAAAGTTGACAGTTATTTAACGAAAGTATAGCTACGATGTGATATTATGATGTAATGATATAAATATACTGAAAGTCTGGATTCGGATCCTCACATCACTATACTTTACAAAGATGCAAAAAATTTTGTGTTAAAATTTTCAGGTAAATTTTTTAATTTAGTAAGTAATGATAAAGCTATTGGATTGTTAAAAACCTTATGCAAATTTTTTGAATTATTAAGTAAGTTAAATTACTTATTTTATAATAAATATCAAAATGAAGACAATATATTCTTTTCTTTTGTATAGAGTTGCATTTAGTTGCTAATGCTAATGTGACTATGGATGTTAAAATAAAAGAGTTTAACTTTTAATACACCATTATTGAAAGCTTGTCGATAGCCAAGTTTTCAATAACATTTGTTTGATTTAATATATAAAACAAGAACAGGAAGAGTATTATAAATAATCAAACTATTTAAGATAAATGCTTTAAAATGCATTTTAAAACTATTATCAAAAGTATTATCAGTATCCACTAAAGTTTTATTTTATCAATGATGTAAAAATATACCTATATCAGTTCTTTATTTAATATTAAAAAAATTAATTTACTTTATAAGTAAATTGTAAATTAAAATTTCTTACTTTATCAATCTGTTCAACATTAGAAAGAGGATTTGATTGTTTCTTTATATTTTCTTCTAAGTTTAAATATTGTTGTTTATAGTAATTTCTTTCTTCTTCTACTAATTTTAAAAGATTATCTTCTGATTTTGTTTGTTTTTCATTTTTATCTGAAGATTTTTTATTCTTTTTCACTGTAGTTTTTGATATTTCTGCATTATTCTATTACAACAAATAAAATTATAACAATGTAATTATTTTAAAATAATTAGTTTAATATATTATATTATCAAAAAATATATACATTTTTATATTGTTGAATATTTTGTAAAGCAACAACTTCTTCTTTGTAATGATCCCTCTGAGCTTCTAAGATAGAGATTAACTGCAACAAGTGATCTGAAGAATATCTCTGACAGACATCATCCACATTTTTGTGACTGAGTCGATCAATTTCCAAAACTAAATCTTTTTCTGTATGTTGTAAAATAGTTAAACTAAATATTTCATAAACAATAGTATATTTCTGAAATATTTTACAAGTAAAAAATTACCGTTCAAAGACATAAAATTTAGTTTTTTCTGGAGCTCTTCTTTTTCTTGTTCTAATTCTTTAATCAGTTTTTCTAAATTTATTTGTTCTGAATCCTTACTTTTCAAAAGCATAATTAGATTTTGATTTTCTTTTTCCAATTCATTATATTTCTTTAATAAATTTTAATAATTTTTTCAGATTAATATTTTATATAAGTACTTAAAAAAATATAAAATTTATATTACAAATCAGTACTTACTTTTATTATTTCATCATATTTTGAACTTAATCCACACGATTTTTGTTTCTATAATAATAATATAATTGAGTATAAGAAAACAATTATTATAATATAAACAAAATATAATAAATATTTTCTTAATTTTAGTTTATTCTCCCCATTGGCACTTGAATATTTATTAATGAAATACTGTAACTAAATTTTTATGAATATAAATAACAATGCAATAATTAATTAATCTTCTCTTCTAATTGATATAATTTTTATTTTTTATTCAGATGGAAAAAATGCAAGAAAATATGAAAATTATATTAAATTATCAAACATTTATTACAAAAAAACTTTTTTATTGAAAATTTTAAATGTTAGATTCTTAAATTTTTGCTAATAAATAAAAATAATAAAATCTTAATATTTCATACCTGAATTACTTTTTTTGGTTGAAGTTTTAGCTTGTTATTTGAATTGTTATTGGAAAAATGAAGCTTAGCAGATTCTTCATATTTCGCTAACTTGCTTTCCAGTTCAGAATTTTGTTTTTGTAAACATTCTATCTGTTAAAGTTATATAGTTTTGTTTAAATAATTTATTTAAACAAAGAGATGTTACTTAATCAACATTAAATTATTACTCTTTATAGTATTTTACCTTAAAATAATGAAAAAAATATTATAAAATAAATAAATTCTAAAATTATTTACATACAACTTAAGTAATCAAAAATCTAAAATAGTTTTGATTTTGCAAATTCAAATTTATTAAGTCAATATTAATAAAACATCAAACACAGTAAAATTTCATTAAGTTGAAGTTTTAAGAAGTAAAAGAGTCCTGACTTTGAGTTAAAGAGTTTCAAGTTAACAAGTTTAATACCAGATTTTCTTGAATTTTTCTGTGGCTATAAATTTCCTGTTATAAAGAATCTGGTCACAGAATGATTACAAAATTATACACAGTTTTTGGTACTTATGAGGACATTGTCAAAGCATTTCTTTGTGTTCTAATCAGAATGTAACATACTGCACCAAACATAATACCATGTCATTACAACTGTGAGGTTGTAATGACATGGTATTATGTTTGGCATGAAGCCATAGTGTTTGTTTGTCTTAAATTGTCTATATTCATATGTACTACAAGAGAAAATAAAGATCACAGACCTATCAAAGAGCAGAGGGTACACAGAAAAATGTGTCTGAATTAAAGTATCAGCAATTTTGACTTAATTAGATCATATTATATGAAAAACCCTACAAACTATGCCTTGAACTTGTTAACAACAAGTTAATATGATTTTGTGTTAAGGCAGTTTGACTTAGCAAGGGTTTACTATAGTGGATACACAGTTCATCCTATATACAAAAATTTGATTTATACCACTTTGTTTTTATAAAAAAATCTATATTAGTATCTGTTTATGCTAACCAAAATAAATTCAAAAAGAATTTTCATTTTTACAAAAAAAAATGTGAAATGCAAAAATAGTGTTTAGCATTTGTTTTACACTAAGTTATCTTAGAGGTAGTGTGCACCCCAAGCAGCAAGAGACATCATGCTCTTTTCCAAGAAACTACATTCAACATCTCTGTATCAAGTTTACACAGATATGAAATGTGTCTGTAAGCATCTGCACTTTATCTTGTGCATCCATTAGCAAAATATGTCCTAAGGTACAATAAGCTGTACACATTTGATATGATTTGGTATATTAATTTTGGGTCTGGAAACAGTCAAAACTTTTCCCATATAACTTAATGGTAACTGCTTCTTTGCTTTACATCATCATTTTGATTTATGAAAGATTTTCATAGGAATGCTCTACTTTCAGATATCAAAGTAAACCTATACTTTTTATTTTATATGTATTAAATATAATATTAAAATGAATAATACATACAGAATTACATAAAGTTTGTTTTAATAAATGCTGTTTAATATATTTTTTATTACAAAATGTATGATTGTGACTTACAAAAAACTCATACTACTGCAACTTTATTAATATAATAGAAAAATAAATATTTTAAATGTCATTTTGATCAAATATAGTTTCTAAAAATATTACAAAAATTATTATTATACAGTCAAACTTCTATATAATGAAATTGCTAAATCCCAAAAAAATTCGCTATTGGGAAATTCTTACACAGAAATTACACATTTTGGTAAATAAAGTATAATTTTAATGTAATTTGTTCATTATTTTACATAATTTAAATTAATATAAATGTAATATACAGTAATAGCATAATATAAACATAGTTTTAATTTTAAGCAAGTTTACATTTATGTGTAAAAATACTTACAAGTTAGTTTGGCTACATTTTTGTAAAATATTGTAATTTTTTGTTGCACAGAACAATTAAAAAAATGTTCGCTTTTTGTAGTATGCTTCTCACTTATTAAGAACATTAAAACTGCTTCTCTACATCAATGTAAATGCAGGTTTTAGCCCATTTTCCTGTAGGTCTTGCATCATTGGTTAATTTCAAAATTGATTCACAATTTGTATGATTGATAAACTACTCACAAGAATTCCAAACTTTGCTATAATGTCTTTCTTTTTTGAGCCTTTATCAATTTCCCACAACACACAAATTTTTTTTAGTAATGCTTAAACACCATATTAACAATTCTTCAAATTCCAACTGGATGACCTATTAAATAAAATAAAATCTCACTAACCTAAAAAATTAGTCCAGCAGCAGTCAAAATTATCACCTTTCTAATGTTTTCTACATTTGTTAATTGTAAATCATTATCCGTCAACAACAGCATTTGGACCTAATCTGTTTCCTCCTCCTTTACAACCAGTAGCCATATGGAGGTAGATTACATGATGGTTTTATAAGCTAATGACCAATATTGCTCACAGTTGGATTGTGATTTTATAAAGGGTTTACAGATTGATACCTGAAATTGCACCTATATTCAAGCTTCACCCAAATGAAATAATCAACTTTTAATGATTGATGGTCCTTACAAATTTAAAAAAAAAATTTGTTATGTGGAAATTTAACTTCATTATTTAGAAGAAATTTTACATATATTTTTGGTTGAAAGAACAGTTTATGATGCAAAAATTTATTATACAGAGAAATTTGCTATATAGAAGTTCGTAATATGGAAGTTTGACTGTATATATGTATTTTACATGTACAAATACTTAAGAACAAGTGTCAATGCAATTTTTCATAAATTTTATTGTTTTTTGCTGTTTCTTATAAAAATGAAATTGATAGCTTTCTTTTCTGATGAAATTAGAAACTATTAATTAAGTGTTACTTTATTTTAGACTAATGAAAGAATTAGTTATTATTTTTTGTTAGTTTTTTTTTTTGAGTTTTGCAATTTGAAAAATATCTTTAAATTTACAGAGGTTATTGTTATGAATAAAAATTAATTTAAAATGTTTTTTGGTTAATGCAACAAAAATCTTATTTTTCAGAATTCAACTCATTTTGGACATCTGCCATCAATTACATCATCACCTTTACTACAGAATGGTGAACCATCCACTGAGGAAATGACTCCATAAAAGTTTCAAAGTTTTCCAAAAACCATCTCTTTGTTAACAAATAGAAGATTGTCTTGTGCGTTAATTGTCACACATCATTAAAATGTCTAGTAAAATTCACCAGTTTACTTTCTTCACATCTAAANAATAATAATCATATTAATCTTATGAAGATAATGATCTGTCGTCGATAGAAATACATTACAGAAATAAATATGTTTAGGAAAACTACATTTTTCTAATGTTAGGAATAATTCTTCTATTCTATATTTAGTTAAAATTAAAAAGCATATAACTGTATTTTTCTCATACAAAATAATTAAGATATAATTCTGTGTACGTCAATCATTTTTGTGGTTACAGAAATAGATAAATCACAAACAATTTTAGTTATAAAAAATATTCCTACCTTGCATAATAGTTAAAAATTTTTAAATACAAGCACAATTTTTAAATATTTCTTAATACAAAACTCCATTATTTAATATATTATGTCTCCTACCATTAATTAATGTAGCTTTGTTAATTAATGCTTTGCTTACTTTAATCAGAATAAAGTGTTTGTTATAGTTAAAAAGTATTTGTAATATTTAAATTGAAATACATTCTGTTTAGCCATTAACATGCATTATAACATATCAATGAAAATGGCACTTACCACCTTTTACTCCTGAACCATTATATAACAAAGTGAGTTTTCAATGTTCTTATATGTGTTCAAAATCATGTAATATTTACTATTTATGTATTTATTATATCCTGTTCCAATCATTAAAAAAATATAAAATCAATAAAATTTTTATATAATTTGATGAGTATATTTTCATGCATATAACCAGTGGATTATGAAATTGACTTAAAAGACTTATTTGAAAGTGTGCTAGTCATGTGATAGAGCAGGTTACATGCAAAGTTAAACTGCAGTTTCAAACTATACCTATAAAACAATGGGTGTTCCCATAGCCTTGACGTATAGTGGAAAAGGTTATGCAAAAGTTTTATATTTGTCCAAGCAATTTCTGTGGGTTATATGCTACCGAGGGTCACATGCATGAATAATACAGTAATTCTGATTAAATATAAATCTTTTTAGTGTTTTTATACACACTAAAGATAAATTTTATACATATATAAAATTTATCTTTTTAGTATATATATAAATTTAAATTTTAGATTTCTATATTAACTAAAAAATTAATATATAATATTTAATAAGCATATTCTGATATTTAAAGAATTTTACCTGCATATGCAGACTAGTGACTAAATTATCATTTGCAATATGTTTGGCTTCAGAAACAATAGCATCAATGGGACGACCACCATCAAGCATTTGCTTTAAACGAATTATTTCCTTATTTCTTGATCCTATCTACAACATAATATCTACATTGTTTTCTAAATTATAGAAATATTTTCACTTTACTTTATCTAAAATTTATCAAAATTATATAGCTTAGTAATTACACTTCTAACAAATAGAAAAATGCATACTTGTTTCTGAAGATCAATTAAAGCTTCCTCAGCTTCTTCCAATGTATTTAGAATTTTTTTGTTATCTTCTTCTAATTGAATTATGCGATTGTCAGCTAATTTTAACATATCAATGATGTATATATCTTGGGTCTGTTCATAAACATTATTTAATATTTCAGATGGCACAGCAGGAGGAAGAAGAGTATCTATTTCCATTTTCTGACGTCTAAACTGTGCTTGTTTCTTGATATCTAAAAAATGTTGATGATAATGATGATAATATTAATAATACAGTAAAAATATATTTTAATCTTTTTCTTTTCTTATCTCATATTCTGTTTAAGAAGTAATCTCATAGACAAGAAAATTTATTTGCAATTTTGCCATACTTAAGAAACATCTAATTATTTTAAATCATTTTCTTCAAAACATACTTAATCTACATGTAACAAAAACTGGATAAAATCCAGTTTTTGTTACATGTACTTCTCAATACTGTAAAAATCATAAAGTATATACAAATTTAGTTAATATTTAATTATAGAATAAAAATTACATTTATAGTACGCAGAATCTAATTAAGTTACAATCAAAATTACTTGTAGCATAAATTATGCCCAATTTTGATACTGTCAAAAATTATAAAATTCATTCATATCAGATTAAGTTGTTCTTTACATTTTTTCATACTACGAGTAACACTGAGTAATTTATAACATATATGCAGTTTTAATATATATATGTATATTTATTTATAATAATAAAATCAAATTATGTAATGATTTTTAACAAAATAACCGGACTTAATAAGGTTTTAGGTGGATTTACATATATTTAATTATATATATATATTATATTTNTATTTTATTTTTTATAAAAATAGAATATACAGAATAAAATAAATTTCTTAATTTAAAAGATTATATATTATAGTAGAGCATCGATTATCCGAATCAATTGGGGACAGGGGTTGTTTGGAAAATCGATTTTTCGGATAACTGATTATGTACGAAAAAATATATTAACCTATCCCATGAAACCTATATTAACCATATATTAACCTATCCAATTGAAATTCGTTCAAATCCTGGCACGTCCTTAAGTAACCTTTCGTGGTTGCACCAGTGATGCCAGCTAAAACATGTGCACCAACAAAACTAATATTAGAGTAGCCCAAGACATAGCCAAAGATTGCAACACCACAGCACTAGCAGAAACTTAAATTTGCCAACTGGAAAGCTTTTGGTTAATTGACGTTTCAGTTGATCAACATTCAGATAATTGATGCTCTACTGTATTTCTATTTTTATTTGAATACATGTTCAATTTTACAGAAATAAGATACAGTGTCCTTGATTTATATGGATTTATAGATAAGCAAATACAATACTTCAGTTTATAATAAGCAATGCTAGCTACTAAGTGCTACTTTGTACATATATAATAGACGATATTAGTTTATAGCTAATGTCATCAGATGCTGTCATCACTAGTTTGTCTGTTTCTACCTGGAGTGTAAATTGTGTGTCTTACTTGATAGGATATTGAATAAAAATTTATTTTTTAATGTTTTTTTTTCATAACCAGAAGCTGTTTAGCCTTAATTATTATTTGAAATTAATATGTTAAAAATACATTGTATTTAAGCATAATTCAACTTACATTGTTTTTCAATTTGCACAGAAATTTTTGAACTGAATTAACTCTGTAAGTCAAAAATTTAATGTACAACTTTTTAGATTACATGTATCTCAAGCAACTTCATGAAGCTTGATAACTTTTTATTTATGAAAATATTGATATTTAGATTTTTATATTTTATTATTATTCTTTAAATTGAAGTTATTTGCAGTTTCTTATCTATAACAGAAAAACCAAACGTATTTAAATAGCTTCAGAAATCTCTACAATCAGTTAATATTTCTTTCTGTCAAAAAGGATTTTTAATAGGGTTATTAAAAATTAATCTGTTTGTTTCTCTTGAATCAAACAGAATCTTGAATTTCTTAATTTATGTTAGGAAAAAACATTCACATAGATTAGAATTTTCCAAACTGAAGTCTGCAGACCAGTTCTAAAGAGTCCACAAAAATGTTCAGAAGTATCAAGAAATATGTATTTAGTTTCCTAAAATCATACTGATAGAATCATAATAAGCATTTATTGTATAAAATTTATCATTAACTTGATAAGATATCAATAAAAAATACAAACAGAGTTGATTTGACTAAGCAGAGTTCAAATTAACACAACATGAATTAGTGAGTAAGATACAATAGCTCTAAAACTTATCATCAACAGATATAATAACACTAAAAATTTTATGGAAATTATAATGTTCTTTGTTCATATTTACCTTTTACTGTCTCTTCAAATTTTTCATTTTGATGAAGTATATGAATATTAAGTTCATTATTTTTTTTCACTAATTTTGCATTTTCTGCTTGGAAGGGTTCAAGTTGCTTTTCAAATGTTTTCTTTTCCTTCATCAAATATCAAATATTAGTAAAAGAGAATTTATAATTTAAAATTAAATTTATAATTATCATCAAATATATATTAAAACTATTAATTGATTACTCAGTATGACTGATGATACAATATACTAAGTCAACAAAAATATAAATTCATTAATTATACCTATCCCATGAAACCTATATTAACCATATATTAACCTATCCAATTGAAATTCGTTCAAATCCTGGCACGTCCTTAAGTAACCTTTCGTGGTTGCACCAGTGATGCCAGCTAAAACATGTGCACCAACAAAACTAATATTAGAGTAGCCCAAGACATAGCCAAAGATTGCAACACCACAGCACTAGCAGAAACTTAAATTTGCCAACTGGAAAGCTTTTGGTTAATTGACGTTTCAGTTGATCAACATTCAGATAATTGATGCTCTACTGTATTTCTATTTTTATTTGAATACATGTTCAATTTTACAGAAATAAGATACAGTGTCCTTGATTTATATGGATTTATAGATAAGCAAATACAATACTTCAGTTTATAATAAGCAATGCTAGCTACTAAGTGCTACTTTGTACATATATAATAGACGATATTAGTTTATAGCTAATGTCATCAGATGCTGTCATCACTAGTTTGTCTGTTTCTACCTGGAGTGTAAATTGTGTGTCTTACTTGATAGGATATTGAATAAAAATTTATTTTTTAATGTTTTTTTTTCATAACCAGAAGCTGTTTAGCCTTAATTATTATTTGAAATTAATATGTTAAAAATACATTGTATTTAAGCATAATTCAACTTACATTGTTTTTCAATTTGCACAGAAATTTTTGAATTGAATTAACTCTGTAAGTAAAAAATTTAATGGACTAGTGACTAAATTATCATTTGCAATATGTTTGGCTTCAGAAACAATAGCATCAATGGGACGACCACCATCAAGCATTTGCTTTAAACGAATTATTTCCTTATTTCTTGATCCTATCTACAACATAATATCTACATTGTTCTCTAAANTAACGGAAAAGTATGATGTACAGGGGCAAGCCACTACTAATTTGAGATGGAAAGCATATATTTTAAATGATATAAATTAAAAATATGATTAATTAAAAATTTAGTAAATTATATCCAGTAATGATATAAATTTTAAAACAAATTAAAATTTTATTTTTACTTCAACATTGGCAACACTTCCTTCTCTTAGAAAAATGCAAATCTGTGGCGTGTTTATCAATGATGAATTTTATCAGTCGAAGGTTGTAATGTGATAACACTTTTTATGTCTACTAAAACAAAAATGATAAAAAATACATTAAAGATACAGATTTTAAATTAAAATATAATTGCTCAATCTACGATGAATTCACTTTTAATTCGTAAATGAATAAAGATTAAACAGTAGCAATTAATAAAGCAAGAAGGCAATAATTGTAAGTTTTGTTTCATTATCAGTTTTGCAGTATGAAGCAAGGTTTAATAATAATGAACTATTCGGAATAATACGCTTGTAGAATCATTTTAAATTATCTTAATTGATAAATGCGTAACTTTATTCTTATCTGTTAATAAATATCGCTGTATCTAATAAATATTAACTAAAATGCAATTTATTCGTGCTATAAAAAGCACAGGTAAGTTAGTTTTAAGCTGATTTTTAGACAATAATTTTATTTAGTTGAATAAAAAACAGCATTAGTTTTTGTTAATAGTAGGATTTAAAAAATTAATTTTGACTTTTTTTATTATTTTTTTAATTTTTCTCTCTGTTTCTGTAGGCACTGAGATGGTCTTTTAAATGATAGCTTTCTCATAGGGCATATTCAGAAGTGCTTACTGATCATTTGGCTGCCATCAGCAGACTCAACAGTTTTGGAGCTGTTGAATATTTTTCTGCTGAACGCCCTCTACAGTCATGCTCTTTCGAAACATGTTTGGTGTTTCGACGTCACATTTGGTAGCATCGGTTAGCTCAGGGATGCCCCTCTGGGGAGATGGAAGGATTCGTGATTGCCATACAGGATCAGGTCATAAATGCTAAAAACTAAGGCATCTGTGGAGGATGGATAGGGTGCTTATTGTACCTATTGTCCTCTCCTCTATAGGTGTCATACCACACACATACTACACAAAAGCCTGGGACATTATAATTGAATAGAAACATGTACTGTACATCACACTACAGAAGGCCACTATATTGAATACATCATATTGTTAGGAAATTATTGAATACAGAAACACACTGACACAGTTTTTTAATTTTTGTTTTGTTTTGGTTACTATGCCTTGATTCTAGTCTGGCATAGTACACATCCACTGGTGTCAACTGAGTATAACTCACAAAACCCAACATAATAATAATATGCAAGGGTGAGTCTAGATGATGTGTGCAATTAAAAACATTTACTGAACAAGAAATTCAGATCAACCAAAATGTTATAGTAAAGGCAGTATGTAAACTTTATCCTTCACATTCCCTCAGGAAAAACCTAGGGGTGTAAGATATGATGGGTGCACAGGCCACTATATGACACATTTAGCTTATCCATCTGACAGTTATTGAATAGTCAACCCATTTGTAATTTTCAACTTGTATATTTTTGCAATAAAAAAAAAATAAATGTAGTTGCTAATTCATTAAGAATAAATAAATACAGTATATTTGTGAAAATAAAAAAATATATGGAAAAAATATACAAGAAATGCATTAATTGGGGTTGAACTTCAATGGAAATCCATTTTATTTCATTAAACTTTATACAGTTTATGCATTTTACTATTCATGAAACGATAAAGGTTTTAAGGGGGTTGAGTTTTGTTGGATGTCTGAAAAGGGGAGGAAGTTACAGAAACTTGGACAACAAGGGGAAGGGAAGTAGAAAAATGCATACATAATTTATGGACAACCCCTTATTTATCATTAAATTGAAAATAAAATATATATGTTTATAACTACCTCTTCCAATATATTTTTCTGTTCTTTATAATTATGTAATCCTTCTGTAGCATGTAATAAATCTGTTAAAATCCTTTCCACAAGCAGAGCCGATTCTAATCCCAAAGGCTGAAGATAACCCATTTGATCAAGTTTCTTCCGCAAACGTCCAAATTTATTTTCTGCAGATGTCAGAGTATTCATCTTTAAACTCATCTGAGTATAAAAATGAAAAATTTATTTTATAAATATGATAACATTTAAACACAAACACTTATAAATGTATCATGAAATCTAATTTATAAAATGGAAAATATAAAAGCACCTTATAAACGGCATATCAAATTTATTTTTGAATATAATTAAGTCACAACATGTTCTAATAGATCTTGATCGTTATTTTCTTGTTTTGGTGTAAAATAAATACTCAATTTAAATTAATTTTAATAACAACAACCAAATGTTTTGAGTAAACCGCCATTTTACACAAAAGTTGAACGACTCCAAGCAACGCTTATCCCTCTAACGGCTAAAAATTAACTATTTTTTTTTAAATAATTAAATAACTTGTAAAAACACAAGAAGTTTAATTAAAATGAATTTTTGTAGTAATATTTTTAAATTAAAATGATAATTTATCTCTCGTTGCCTTCCATAACTTTGTTTTTAACTCTTTCCTCCCAGTGGGCACTCTAGGCAATGTGGCCCGTTATGGGTTCGGCCAGGCCCACAATGGGGCGGCCGGGTGGTGAGAGACAGGGCCTGACATATCCGTAACGAACCACCCCCCGAAAAATTCCTCGGTTCGATCCCAATCCGGATTCGATCCCGGATCTCCCAGAGCGCTCGGCCATCCTGCCGTCACCCCTTTTAATCCGGATGTGTTTTGTTTCTCACCACTTAGTCGTCCCGTAATAATCGAACTCATAATGGACGAGATAAAGATCCTTTTAATGCTTACGAGATGGAAAGAGAAAAATGAAAATTTGATAGCAGAATTTATTGGGCTGCAATTTGACCAAAACAATTGTAGACCTATAAATTCCCACTGTCGTCAGCCTGTCTTTCCTTAATCTCGTGAACAGAGTTAGATACATAAATATTAAGCCCAGTTGTAGAAAGCTTAGGGGTAGTAGGCCCCGATTAACTATATAAGAACTTCCGATACAAACCCACAGTCATGTTGTTTTAATTCAAAACTTCCCCTGAAAGCAGTTAATAGATGACCAGCATGACTCTATTGCTAACGGAAAAGTATGATGTACAGGGGCAAGCCACTACTAATTTGAGATGGAAAGCATATATTTTAAATGATATAAATTAAAAATATGATTAATTAAAAATTTAGTAAATTATATCCAGTAATGATATAAATTTTAAAACAAATTAAAATTTTATTTTTACTTCAACACTGGCAACACTTCCTTCTCTTAGAAAAATGTAAATCTGTGGCGTGTTTATCAATGCTGAATTTTATCAGTCGAAGGTTGTAATGTGATAACACTTTTTATGTCTACTAAAACAAAAATGATAAAAAATACATTAAAGATACAGATTTTAAATTAAAATATAATTGCTCAATCTACGATGAATTCACTTTTAATTCGTAAATGAATAAAGATTAAACAGTAGCAATTAATAAAGCAAGAAGGCAATAATTGTAAGTTTTGTTTCATTATCAGTTTTGCAGTATGAAGCAAGGTTTAATAATAATGAACTATTCGGAATAATACGCTTGTAGAATCATTTTAAATTATCTTAATTGATAAATGCGTAACTTTATTCTTATCTGTTAATAAATATCGCTGTATCTAATAAATATTAACTAAAATGCAATTTATTCGTGCTATAAAAAGCACAGGTAAGTTAGTTTTAAGCTGATTTTTAGACAATAATTTTATTTAGTTGAATAAAAAACAGCATTAGTTTTTGTTAATAGTAGGATTTAAAAAATTAATTTTGACTTTTTTTATTATTTTTTTAATTTTTCTCTCTGTTTCTGTAGGCACTGAGATGGTCTTTTAAATGATAGCTTTCTCATAGGGCATATTCAGAAGTGCTTACTGATCATTTGGCTGCCATCAGCAGACTCAACAGTTTTGGAGCTGTTGAATATTTTTCTGCTGAACGCCCTCTACAGTCATGCTCTTTCGAAACATGTTTGGTGTTTCGACGTCACATTTGGTAGCATCTTTCATTTATGCTACCTATCGCTAGTTGAAACTGACCAATGAGGATTTTTGTTCCAATGCAACATCACTCAGCAGATCTAGGTTGCTACATAACAGCTACTGATTTGCTCAGTTACAACTATCGAGTCTGCTGAATGCAGCCAACGAATGAATGATGTCATTGATAACTGTTAGTCATCCTTTGAAGATTGGTGAGTCTGGTAACAACTGGTATTTCACCAGGAACTTTATATGTAGTGTTTTTGAATGATGACTGATCTTGAGATTGAATCGGAAAGCATTTCCATATGGATTCGTAGTATACCTGTGGCGGGTTTGACTAGATTCACAACGAGGATGGGGTCCATGCAGGGGTGGACTAAGGCCTAGGCAACCTAGGCACGTGCCTAGGGCCCGTAATTTTTGGGGCCCCAAAAATTAGGTTTTTAATTTTTTAATTTTAAAAATAGGCCCGGAATTACAATGTTGCCTAGGGCCCGCTTTAGCCTTTGTCCGCCTCTGGGTCCATGTATCTGAGATGAACCACCTGTGAAAAATTCCTGGGGTTGCTTGCCTAGATTTCATCTCGGGTCTCCCAGAGCAGTTGGCTGATGCTTTAATTAATTTAACTACCATATCATCCAGTCAAAAATACTAGCTTGACTGGATGTGATTTTGTAGTTTTTGAAAATAACATGATTAGAAATTTTACATACAAACATAAATTGGTGATTAACAACAATCCTTTTCTGTATTTCGGGATACACGTGAACTTCCTAAACTTCTAATGCAATGTTTCTTATGGAATCGCAGGCTTTAAACCTGCTGAGTACTGACATAATCTAGAATCTCCAGTACATTAGATATTAAAGCAATACATACTAATGATATGAAAACTAGTAATATATAGTTTATTCTCATCTTTTTACTGGTCAAGTTTATTTTTAATGTTCTTTGTTATGAATATCAGCTTGATTAGAGTTGCACGATGGCATGAGATATTAAAAGAAAAATAAAATTACATTGCCAAACTCTAGAGCGGGAATGGGAATTGCAGCCTTGCATTACTATTTTTTGCATCCACATTGCATAAAATATGAATAAATATATCAATTTCCAGCTTAAGAAAGTATGCAGCAAAAATTCAAATATTATTTTCTACAACTTATGTATGTTGATAGTTTTTTCCTGCAATGAATTTAGTAAAAATTAAAACAAGAAACTGGCTAACAGACTCACATCAAAATAATTTAAAACTAGCAGTGATTAATATTTAACCAAATATTTCTGATATATTATATTTACATCAGTTCCAGAAGCTAAATTAAGTATAGCTATGCTAATTTATAATTATACATGAATAAATAATTGTAATTTACAGGCATTTTTTTTTCTTGTATGCAGCCTGCATCAATTCAAAAGTTTTGAAATGCGGCCCTTACATAGAGAAAAATTGACCATTCCTGCTCTAGAGTGTTGTATTGATATATTAGGACCTAAAAGGCTGCAGCCTTTGAGGTCCTAATGTACAGGTTGCTCACTGCTATAGATTGTAGACAGAGAATATGAAATATAAAAAAAAAAAATTGAAACTAAATGAATTATTATTAAAAATGAAATTATTACTATTGTAAATTATCTTACAATAGTAATAATTTAGAATAAAAGAAATTTGATTATCTTGCTTTATCTATTATTAACTAATTTTTTGAATTAAAATTTATTATTAAACTTTGTTTTATTATTGTTTATAGTTTAGAAGACAGTTTATTTTGTTTACATTTGAATACATTGTTTGGTTTATTCTTAATACATTGTTTAACTAAATGACTGTTTTATGACAAAAGAAGAATAATATATTTTTTGTTTGTTAACAAACTAGGTAGTTGTAAGACTCATCAAGATAGGAAAAAGATGCTAATATTTATTTTGCATTTATAATTTTTTCAATGTATAGTGGTTTAACCCAGTAACAATCTTGTATTGATTAGTTCCATATGATTAAAATTATTGTAAGTTTTATCTAACAAACAAAAATTAGCTAAAATATCTGAAATCTAAACTTGACCATTATTTTAAATATGCTTTTTTGATTATGTATTTTATTATGCATATAAAGTATGTTTTTTTATTAAATACTTGAAATTATATGAAGGTAAAGCAAAAAGATTTTTTGGCATATTACAGCTATGTATCTTGTATCTATTCTCTGTATTGAAATTATTACTGCAATTAATGATGATCTTTAGTATTCATCATGATATCCAAATAAAATAATTTCAGTACTGTGAATTTCTTTAAAGTGCATTTGTGAAAAATTTAAAAGTAACACTAGTAAAGCCGTGGTCACACCATGCAATTTCCAGCTGTGCAGGCAACTGCAACTGCAACGGCTGTTCTAGTTAACTAATAAACCTCTTTCAAAAACAGGCATGAGTAGAACAAAAAGTTTGTTCTACTCATGTCGATTGCAAAAATGCATCCAATCAGCAGATATCTACAGTCGACCCCCCTATAAGATAGAGATACGTTCCATTCTCTAGGAATCCGCTTTCTTACGAATCCTTCCAATCACAACCCGACACGTATCAAGTTTACGGACTACGGCTGTTTGAAAGATTTTCTTCCATAAAATTAATCGATTCTAGACTAATCCGACTCAACATTTCCAAAATACGTATATATTTTTTGGGAATAATCCGTATAAACTACGCTATAAACAAAAAATTGTAGGATTACTTACCGAGTGTCACCATTCGACATTGCCATTGCTCAACATTGTTTTCGTCGCGGAACAGCTCAGCAAAGAGCGGCCGATTTCTAACAACTTATTTTTCTGTGAAAACTTCGTAGAACTTCGGAGACATCATTAATATAAATAATTTTAATCGCCGTTGAATAAGAAATGTTTCTTTCACAAGAAATGTATAAAATTACAGTACTGTATTAGACTTACGGTACCTAATTTACATACTGACAGACGATAGTTAGCGTAAAAATCTCCGTAGCGTGGCGCCACGCTAGACGGCGGAAATTATATATTTAATTATAACAAAGTTACAATAAGTTAATATATAATTATATATACAGTACCTAATTTATATATAATTAATATATAATTATATGTACAGTACCTAATTTATATATAATTTATATAATACTGTCCAGACGATAGAAATCTCTCCGTAGCGTGGCGCTACGGACGGCGGGAAAGTAGTTCGGCTTCCCGATGACGTTTGAGGTGTTTATAGGAAACTTTTACTATTTTTTACGGATACCGGTAGCAATTTTTTCGTAGTTTTATAGGAATCGTAACTATAGGAACCGTAATTATAGGGGGGTCGACTGTATGTGCCATGTCATACGGTGGCAACATTGAAAATACTGTAGTTCATCATCAAGGCAGAAAGCAAGACAATGGATAGTTTAACAGAATCAAGATTGAGCTAATTCAGTTTCATGAATGCCTGTGGGATTTTAATTGTTCATTTTATTGAAGAAAGGATAAAAGAGAGCAGGCATGGCATGAGATAAGTGAAACTCTCAGCATTGGTTTTAAGTACCATTTTTAGATTTCTGGATATAAAGTTTTGATTGTTTTTAGTTTGGTAATGACAATATTGTTTTAAATATAGCTAAAGAACTAGGTAAAAAAAATTCCATCATCTGAGAACAACATTTCTTCAAATAAAAAAAAACAGATAGAAGACAGCAGGTGAAGTTTTAACCCAGCATGAAAGTTTTCTCTTTTTGTATTCTTGCCAACTCTAACAAAATTATCGTCTTTTTTCTTTTATTCATTGCAGAAAAGGAACTGCTTGCCATTTTAATAAGAAAAGTGGCTAAAATTCTGTAAATATAATGAAGTAGAATGTAAAATGTCAGTAAACTCACAAAAGTAATCAAAAACAAGCTACTGTAATTTTATTGGTTTATTATAGTCACACGTTTCCAAGTTGCAATGCCAGCTAACAATGTGTGATCACGAGAATATGTGCGCGACTTGCACTTGTTGCATTGCGGACACCTGTGCAGCTGGAAATCACATGGTGTGATTTCTAGCTGCACATGGTGTCTTAAAAGTGAAGAAACATTAAGAACACTTCCTATATCTGTTTTTGTTTGTTTCATTGCCATTATATCTGTGTTGTATGTATGTATGCAATGATTTTTATCAAAAAATTTCAGTGCAATCTTATGAATTTATGAAAAACACTGTTTTATTTGACATGACATTCCATAAAAAAACTAATTTGTTTGTATTTTATGTAATACAGATACTGTACTTATTTGAAAGCATTGTACTAAACATATTTTATATTACTATTTTTACAGGTTGTGTTCAATGGAAATGGAAGATAATTTTGCAAATCTTTAGTTAATTAAATCAATTTTTATGCTTGTTAAAACATGTTTGATATTTTCAGAGATGGAGAGATTTTTTTATAGCAAAAAATATGACCAAAAATGTAAAGTTATTTTAATTAAC